GCGTAGTGGGCTGGGTTGGGCTCTGTCAGGGCAAGGTCGTCAGCAAGCTCATCCATTGGCTTAGCCCCGCCAAGATTCTTGTAGGCTGCGTAGATGTGCTGCGAGCGCCAGGCGAGGAACTTCTTGGGCAAGTCCTCGTTGAAACTCAGCGCCTCCTGCTTGCCTCGCAGTCGCTTCTTTGGCGGGGCAGCAAAGGCGGCGGGGCGCTTGCGGGTCGGCATGGCCAGGCGCGCCTGAGATTACAGACTCTACGCTGGGCCACACTGGCTGCCGGGGTTTTTGTTCCTCGCACACACACACACAGCACAGTCGCTGCTTCGCTGTTGGAGCGTCTTCCTTTTTTGTTTGAAACCAAACATAACCTCACCTCCAACAACAAATCTTGCGGCGGCGACTCTTCTTTTCTCTGGCTCGATTATGTCTGGTTTGCTTGAGGAACACACATATGAAACAGTTGACGGTGTCTGGAGAAGCCCCACCGGCCATGAAAAACACGAGACAGTGAAACAGCCCCGTCACTCGAAGGCTCGTCGTCCAGCCGCCCCTTGCTCTGATGGACTTGCCCAGGGACGTGTTCTCCGCCAGGCAAAGAACTCTGCGAACAACTTTGTTGCGGCTTGGATCCTCTTGCTTCTTTGGCAAAGCAGCGGAACAGCAGCCGCAGGACGCTCGCGGGCCGACATGACCAGGCCCCTAGTCTCTGGCAGCACGTGGCTGCCCAAGCCGCGTCGGATCCCCCTCACCTGAGGCCTTTAAAGGGCTTGCTCTCCAGCTGCCCCTCACGCCGACGCGCGCGGTGGCGGCTGCTGCAGGGCGCTTGCGGGCCGACATGACCAGGCAACTACTCAAATCTTGCAACCCCCTCTACTATTGCTGGGCCTCTGGCTGCCGAGTGTGTTTGATTTCCGGTCCGCAGAAACACGTTAGTCGCTGGCTCTACTTCGTCTTCCATTCGCCTCGCAGTTTCTGGGGTTCAACACATGTTCAAGCTTCGGCGACAAGCTTCTATTTTTCTGGTTCGAGAATATCTGATAAACGTGAAACGGTCAACGGTGTCTATGGATAAGTCCTGCTGACCGGTTCAAGTTGAAGTGAAACAGTTTGAGAGAGCGTGAAACAGCCCAGGCTCACTTGAAGCCTCCGAAGAGCACGCTCTCCAGCTGCCCCTCGTGTTGATGGAGACCAAGCGCGCCAGCCGCAATTGCCGAGCGGCACGTTCTCCAGCTGCCCAGCTGGTCCTGACAGGGGGCTTGGTGTTATTTCAAAGCGAAAGTTGCAAAAGAACAAAACTGGAGCAGAGTGCATGCCTGGCATGTTAGCAGCGCCCCCCCCCGCCCAGAAGTTGAGTATGCCTCTGCGCTGGACCTGACCCGCCTTAAAGTCTTCCGGTTCCTTGTCCGACGCCAGGCTTCCTCCCCGGTCGCCTTGGCGGCGGAGTCTACCGTATGGACTCTTACGCACTTCAGCAGTGACTCTCGCTTCTAACCTCTAGGAATGTTAAAAACGACGTTTCCGCTCCTTAGATTGCGTCTGCGGGCGAAGTTCGGCCCCGGCACCACGGGCTGGGCCCCCAGGCCGCGCACGCTTTTCTCCGACACTAGCCCTGCCTTCTATTTTGCTACAGTTTCAGCTTAGCAAAAGGCCTCCAAACAGCCCTTGGCAAAACCCAGAAAAGGCTTCAAGAATCGGTCGCCCAGATTCTGGGCGACGCTTTTTGGTCGCCCAGATTCTGGGCGACGCCTGCAAAGCACCTTCCGGGCCTGTGGAGGAGCACTGCGAAAACTGGACTGCAAAAATCGGCTGCGACGTCGGCCAAGCCACCAGTTCTTGTTCCCCCGAGCCCGGGGGAAGACAAGGGGGTTGAACCCTAAACCCTAAAAGGGTGCAATTTTGGGTGGTAGGGGTGGGCCTCATTCCGCACGGCGCCGTTGGGCCCTCGACCCTTTCAGGGGAGGGCCCAGGCGCCCCCGCTGTAGACACCCTAAACAGGCGAGCATGTTTCTGGCCATATACATGGGCATGCGAGCCGCCGGGCTCAAGGTCAAGCCGAGACGCCGTTGCAAATCTGAGGGCCTGCTAGGGTCAAGCCTAGCAGGACAACCACTGTGCGGCTCTGCAAGTCTTGCTGATGTATAGCAGTTGCTTTGGTTGCTCTTGGGGTTGGCTTAGTTTTGTCGTTTTGTGGTTGTCAGGACGGGCGGGTCAGCCTGTTAAAATCAAAACCGCAATGACAATGACATTGAGTTCCTCCTTGTCATGGATGTTCTTCATACTCACGTTTAATCTTGGGGTTGGCTGAGTTTTGTCGTTTTGTGGTTGTCAGTACGGGCGGGTCAGCCTGTTAAAATCAAAACCCCAAAGATGACAATGACATTGAGTTCCTCCTTGTCATGGATGTTCTTCATACTCACGTATAATCGTGGGGTTGGCTTAGTTTTGTCGTTTTGTGGTTGTCAGTACGGGCGGGTCTGCCTGTTAAAATCAAAACCGCAATGACAATGACATTGAGTTCCTCCTTGTCATGGATGTTCTTAGGTCTTCATACTCACGTATAAACTGATATTGACACTTTTCGCGTTGGCTTTGTGTTGCATCAGCAGGAGCAGCTCAGGCTTTAGGAAAAATACGGTTTAATAAGGCTTGAATTTGGTCATCGCATGACCTGCATACTGATGCATCTTGAACACTTAAAATTACCTTTCAACAGTTTTCCAACAATCATTGTCATTAAGTGCAGTCAAACAGTTAAATAAAATGGGGGGAAATTACCTAAAACATGCAGGGGCGTTAATTGGTTAAGATGCCATCGAGCCCATGGCCTTCAACCCGCCCAAGCCGCCGCCGCGTCCCCTTTTTCGCGCGACGCCTGAAGGTTGACAAGGCGAGCCATCTAATTATTTGCCAGGCTTTGTGCTAGACATGAGCTGCTGCCGGTAATACTCAGCCCTCATCTTGTCTGAAGACCAGTGTTTGCCTTGGTTGTTTTTCTGAAACTGGTTCCAGCGCGACAGCGGCTTTCCGCCACGACGCTCACTGTCACGTCTCTTCTGGTCGTTCTTGTTTTTTTGGATGAACGCGCTTGTCGCGGACCGCGTTGAAGGCCCAGTGATCTCGCCGCAGCATTGGCACCTGCTGTCCTGGGTGGCAGAGTCTCAGGTTAGCGGGCGGACTTGGGCCAACCTTATTACACCTGCCTAAGCCCACTCGTGACCTTACTTCGTGGCATTTCGTGGCCAAGCAAGTCAATGTCAACCCAAATTGCAACATAGGCGCAAATGCACATAGCAGCTGGGACGTTACTCGAAAGACCCTTGAATGACAATTTTCAGGCTCAATGCTTGGCGTACGGCCAATGTTGACCACAGGAAAATCTGATGCCATTGAGGATGAAATCTTGAGGGCCTTCCAAACGCAAAGGGGCAACACTGGGCGGCCTTAGCCACCACCCACCTAAAAGAAACCGGTTCTTTGACAAAGCGTCTGCTGGGGGTGTCAACGGCGGTGCTGGTAGGCTGCTGATCATGTCGCCAGCCTTCTGCAGCAGGCATCGCAACAGCCATTTCAAGACTTCATAGATGACAATGCCGATGGCAATCTCGAGCACCAACGGCCACCATGGCTCTGCCTGCCCGTCCATTGAGCTGGTCCCTGCTCGAGACCCAACTGCTGCGGGCAGCGACGCTGCGGTCATTGCCAACTCGAACGCGAATGTCGACGGGCCTTTCCGAAATTAGCCTTGGTTGACCGCAGCGCAGCCGACGAATCTATGCGAAAATAGACTAAAGCTTTAAGCCACCGCCGATGAGCCCCGTTACACGGCATTGATCGGAAGCCCCTTTGTGAAATGAAACACTTGCAGAACAAATTGACAACTTTTCATGTCTTTCCTGTCCCGCAGCCTTGCCGGGATCATCCTACTGTCGCCTTCATCGCCTCGCGCTTGCACGCCCCAGCACCCCGGGGGCGTTGCGTTGCTGCCACACAACTGCTGGGCGACCCGGCGCAGGGGGATTCCTCAAAAATGTTTTCCAGACCACAGACGGAGCCGCAGCCCTTTCTCCAGGTCCAGTTTCGCGGCCAATACTGTTTGCGGCTTTCTTCTCAAGCTGCTCAATCAGGGCTTCAGCAAACTTCCTTAGCTCGCAAAAACGCAGCTCGTTCAGTGAAGCCTTGACAGGCATCACTGCTGACAGACTCTGATTGAAAGCAAGGATCCTTTGGTCACTGTTCGTAAGGTCGCCGGCTGGCCGCTTCTTCGAAGTCTTGGCAGCTGCTTGCGTAGGCGTTGCTTCCTTGGTTTTCGTCTTGGTCTTAGCCGTCTTCAAGACCTTGTTGGCGTCGCCTTTGTGCCCGCATGCCTTCTGGTCTTTGTGTCTCTTTCTGCCGTTCTTCTCTTTCGCGGGCTCTGAAGCCATGGCAAAATCGAGGTCCATCTTGCCAACTATTTGATTGACATGCCACTTCTCTTGAGCATGTACTGATCTGCAACAATTTTCAGAACAAGCCGCCCGGCAAGAAAGACAAAACATGAGCAATGACAATGAGGCACTCGCAGGGGGGATTAAATGTCCTCGTCGCCACTCAGTTGCGGAAACCTAAGCCTAGGCGCTGCAGTCACATTATTTTACACCGCTCTGAAGTTTGTGTCGCTCGTCATTGTGATTCAGATTGAAGGTCAATCCAGTCACTCAAAGCCCTAATAAGGTGTCCTTTTCGCCCAGTCTTCAGCTCAGCAGCTTCCAATTTACATTGATGCCTCTGCTTAACTTGAGCAAAGCCAGCAGTAAGTTTCAATAGTTGTTCAAAACACCGACGCCGTCCCCTAGCCGGGCCTCGCAGGGACACAAGACCCTAGTAAGGCCCGGCGCAAGGACGGTGTTTCACCCACGACGTTGCGCCGCCGAAGAAAACATATTTGATAGTTGATCCGCCGCGGAAGTCTGGGCCTAAGCGTCTTGAACAAAAAGCAGCCAGGATTGCTGCGGCCTAGCCTAGTATGCTCACTGACTGGCCGAGTCTGATTCAGAATCGTCAATCAGCTGGGAGGCCGGCGGCGCGTTGCCAGTCGGTTTTTCCTTCTTCTGCTTCTTCTCCGCCTTCCCCGTCTTCTTATTCGTCGTCTTTGGCTTCTTAGGCTCCGGCTCAGGCGCCGGATCTCCGGGGGCGGGCGTCGGCCGCTTTGGCGTCTTCTTGCCCTTTTCGGCTTCCGCATTGTTCTTGCCAGCTGCCGCCCACTCAGGCGCGTAGAACGTAGACCCTTCTGTCTGCATCTGTTGCTTGACAAACTTGACCAGCTCACTCTGGAGAAGCGAAGCGTGAGTCTCTGTCATGGTCAGGGCCATGTAAGGAATCCTCCGCAGCAAGGCCGCCTTGGCCAGATCTCCTGCGCCTGGCGTGCAATCCAGCACGCCTGTGATCTCGTACGCGGCCAGGGCGTCTGAGTACAGCGTCACCGGCAAGTGGTTGAAGAAGGCAGGCTCATAAGAGTCACCGTCTCGCTGCTGTTCTTCATTCTCCTTTGGGTCCTCGGCAGAATCTGCGCCCATCATCTTGTCTCCGTACATCTCTTTCCTGACAAATCGGGCGACGCATATGATTGAGGCCCCCAAACATGCTACTATTAAAGGCACGATTAAATTTGAGTCGGGCTGCTTATTGTTCACAGTTAAAGTCCACTCATCCGAAGCGCTGCCCAAACCAATCCAGCCGATGCAATTCCCTCGGTTGGAGCCGGGGAATTTGGTGTGTTTGCGTTCTGGCAGCCAAGTGGACATGGGCTCGGCGCTGATCACGTGCCAGCGCTGAATCTGGTTGATCATGCCGCGGTTCAGTTTCTTCTTTCCTTCCATTGACTCCTCGACAGGATTGAAAGACAAGTAAAACCGATGAAAGCGAAGACCAAAGCTTTCAAGTACACAATCGAATTTTGAAACGGACATCGTCGTCCTGGCTGAGGCACAGCGTGATCTCCGTGTGCTCCAGGTAGTGCGCCAAGGCCCCCTTGCCATCCTTCGACTTGAACGGCGCCAAGAGGCTCTCCAGCACGTTCCGCCCAGCATCGTTCAAGAAAATGAAGTCTCCGTCAATTGGACGGTCGAAGTGATCCTCTGCCACCTTCTTGTTCGCCAGGCCGCCGCGGCCCTTGATGCTGCCGTGGATCAACTTTTTCATGAGGGCTGGGCTCAGTGGCGGAAACCTTCGGTCAGGCCTTTTGGCGGCCTCTGCAAACAGGTTGGCGTCAAAGTGGATCATGACACCGCTCTTGCCCTGCACGCCGCGGAGGTCGCCATTCAGGCCGCTATCCCCTACGGCCCGGGCAACGGCAGACTGGGTTGGAGGCTCGGCCCGCAACGACACATAGATCGCAACCTGCTGCGCTGCCGTCGCTGTCCAATGCCTTCGTTGACTGCTCATGCATTGCCGCAACAATGGCGCACGCTCGCACGAGCAAAGCAACGTCAAATTCAATTCTCTCCAAGGCACTCAGCCGAGCCCTTGGGGTACTTTGAAGGCTGCGGAGCCACGCTGCCCTGCGCGATCTTCGTGCACTCGTCCTGCTCGTCCTGCTCCTCCTCGGCCGCCTTGTAGAGCGCTTTCTCTGCAGCTAGTTCATTGTCTTTTGCTGCCACGCAAGCCTTCCATCGTAGACTGAACGTCTCGATCTCGAGCAGCTCAAGCGGGTTGGCTCCCTTTCCTTTCTTCAGAAGAGCAATCAAGGGGCCGTTGAGCGTCGTCGTGTACAGGATGTCCTTCGCGCCAAGGGGGCCATTGCCAATAATGCTTTTAAGATTGCATTGCCCCCCCCCACCTCGATCAACCTCAGCACAAGCATGCTGGAGCGCTTCAACGAAGACATCCATTGAACTTCAGATGGACCTTCAAGGTTAGCAGCGGTCACGTATTTCCGGTAGCTGCAAATCGTCATGATCTTCGAGTGGATCTTGGCAAGGTCCTGAGTGTCGAACTGGCTGCGTGGCATCTCCACCTGAGTCCATCAATGCAATGCCTAACACCACGCATTTTTTCAGAAGCCTAGCAACCATTGAACACAATAAACTTGAACCACAGATCCATGTTGATAAGTTAGTTTACTTGCCAAGACTGAAGAGGGCCGTGTTCAACAAGTGTTTGTTGATGGACAACTCGCTCTCAGGCCACTTTTCTCTTGCCTGCAAAAAGTGATGCGCCACAGTTCGCTTCAGCTTCAACAGCTCGACCAGCGATGCGGCTGTGGGCGTCCCAGCGAGGTAGGTCTTGGTGATGGTCTCGCGCTCAAGCGCTCCTCCCTCCACCATGTCGCAAATCACTTTCAGAATCCATTGCCTCAATAGATGGTCGCAAAGCAAAAATAAAAGCAATTGCGCAGATTCAGAAAGTCCGATGGCAGCGCTGTTCCCCGGCCTGGTCTCCATGTTCTCGCTTTTTTCAATCAGCACCCGAAGTTTCTGAAGGGAGTTCAATGGCGACTCCAAGCCATACTTGCTCTCCAACTTGTCCAGCACCTCGTTGCAGGTTGTGTCCACGAGCAACTTCTCATAGACGAACAGGCAGTCCTTCACGAATCCATCCGCCATGTCGCCTTTCACGGAGGATTTCGCCATGAGGTGGGCCTTGGACCGGAAGATGTCTTGCACCTCCTTAACTCCAAGTCTCTCGCCAGCCTCGGACTCCTTCTTGTTTTTGAAGGCAGTCGCCTCAAAAGCGAGTTGTCGAGCGCTTCTCTTGAGGGAGTCGTAAGTCTGCACCACTTGCTGCCTCCGGTGGAAGCTGTGCCAGTACAAGCTGTCTCCCCCGCCCACCACTGTGAACACTGCCGGCGCCGACAAAAAGACCCGGCGCCAGGCAGCAAGCTTCTCATCAGGCGCCTTAGCAGCTTCAACATCAGTCACTGAATGCGTCCGAAGACTACAATCAAAATTACCCTCTAAGTAGCTATTAAATCCCTGTCAGTCAGTAAACGTGTCTGAAAACCGCGAAACTCTCGTCGCTAGCTAATTTCCGAACACCTGCCTGGTCTTTGATGACATCCGCTAAGGTGAACAGCAAGGCGTGCTGCATTTCCTCCGGGCTCACCGCCTTCCACTTCCCCTTGCTATCCAGCATGTCCTGGTCCGGGCTGTCGACCGCGACTGTGAAGTTCTCGGTCAAGTGCTTTGCATCCCCGGCGGGACAAGCAAATTGCCCGAGTTCCCGGACCCTCTCCACACTGAGCGGTACCGTGGGCGTTGTGGACCCAAATGGGTCAATCCACATCAAGTTGATCGCGGCCCTGTAGCATCCTTCCTTCGTCAATGCTGCCTTGCACTCCCGTGGGTCGAAGACTGCCTGGCAGATTGACCAGTGTAATTCAAGCTGAAAAACAACTATTCGCTCTACCAGAAATGTCTCGTTGTTTTAGACAAGTGGTACGTTTGCAGCAATTCAGTGTTTTGGCACGAACTGCCCGCAGACACCTTGCGCATGCAGGAAATGCACTGGTTTTGCATTATGAGTTGAGGCAACTTGTTTGTATTTGCGGGCGTTTGTGTTGTTTTTTGCACTCGTTGTTGGTTGCCCAGAAGTGGTGTCAAACTGGTGTAATCAGCACAATGGGAGCAACACGGTCAAACTCTGTCAAACTGACCATTGCAACATGCAAAGGATGTTCCGCGTAGTGGATTGCAAGGACAGGAGTCAAACATAACAAGTCTCCACCCAAGACGACAATTTGAAGGATGGCGATCTTTTTGAAACTGCTGAGTTACCAGTTAAACATCCGAAAACTAGTCCTTCAATTTAATTGTCGTCATGTATGCTGTTTGTTTCGCGGTAAAATTGGTAAGTAGAAAGGCCGGAGCACAGATACGGAGTAGTACTAGTGTCGAATGAAGATGCAGGCTAGGTTTAATCCGCCAATGCACTAAAACCTTCCCGCCTGAACTCCTGACTGGTCTTCTCCCGGCTTGGTGTTGATCGGCAGCGGCGCAGCGGTCGTCTGAAGGTCAACGAAGGTGGGGCACTGAAGGATCACGTTGACGGCGTCGATGAGCGCTTCGTAGTACTGGGTGTTGTTCTGAGGCGCCGTTTCCGGAGCATCGATAGCCGCCGCCGCCGACTGTGGCTGGTTCTTCTTGACCTGGCTCTTCACCATCTTTGCTTCCTTCAGAGCCTGACGAAAGGCAAGACAGACTGCATTTTCTGATGGATTTGCACGTGAAAACGACAGGGCTTCAAAAAACATCATGGTTTGGCGTTGACAGCTCCTTCGACTTGGTCGCCGCGGCTTCTGAAGCTGCCTTCTGAGCGTCCTCGTCTGAATCGCCAGCAGTCTTGCGCTCCGCGTAGACCCTTTTCTCCTCTTCCTCCACTGACTTCTGCTCAGCCTTGTTCAGCTTCCATTTGCTGAAATGCTCCGGCATTGTGCCAGAGGCCGACAGCCGACTGAGCCCAACCTGCAAACATATGGTTCATGCCACGCTGCTGCAAACCTTTGAGCTAATGCTTGGCCTCAATGACTGCTCAGCCGCCTGACAATGTCAATCAACCTATAGGCAGATTTCTTAGATTGGCGCCTAGCTTCAAACATTGACGACTGACAGACTAGTGACTAGCCAACTTCAGCTCACAGCCGCCCAAGCATAATTTGTTCACTGGCAGGTCAGTCGCTCAGCGGCCCGGCGGCGGTCAGAAGAAGACGTACAGGTGCTGCCTTCTGAACATTTCAGAGGCAGGCTCGTCCTCAGGCTGGTCAGGCCAGGTCCAATGCAGGTCGTCACCGCCTTGGCTGCCAAAAAGTAAAACACCCCCCCCCCCGTTACAAGCGTGTGGCGAGAGCTACCCCCCTGCGTCACTGTACGTAACGGAGGGGGTAGCCCTCGCCAGACGAACCTAGGTTCGGTTGGCGAGAGCCCCCCCCGACGGGGGGGGTACCCCTCGCCACCAAACACACCCGTAAACGAACCTAGGTTCACTGGGCGAGAGCCCGACGTATAGCGGTTGCGGTGCCGACGTTTAGCGGTTGCGGTGCCCCGACGTATAAGAGTTGCGGGGCTTTCGGGGGAGGGGGGGGAAAAGGAATTAAAAATAAACGACCCTGGGTGCCCCGACAGTCAGTCAAAAAATGAAAACCCTTAACAAAGCAATCATGCAGCCAAAAATCGGCCAAGCTGTTCGCGTCCATTGTCGTCGGCCGCCTTTGCCGTGCACTTCCTGCTGCGGGGCGGCTGAGCAGGCTGGGTGCAGTACACTGGGCCAGATAGCTCAACCAGGCGGTGTCCACTACGGGCATCGGCGGGTCGTCAGCCTTCTCAGAGCCAGCGCTCTCGTCATCCTCCACAACCACGACCTCATTGTCACTCATCTCGTCGTCGCCGCCCACCACCGCCGCTGACTCCGGGCCAGTGCGCTGCTTCTTCCGCTTACCTAAGTTTAAGCAGCCATCAGATTACAGACTACTAAGACTAATACTTTAAGTCAACGTGCCAATGACAGCAAACACATGGAAACGTCAATGTCCATTGCCATCATGATGCGCCTCGCGGCTCTCGCCCGGTTTGCCATCGCTCTCGCATCTGCTGATGGCGTATCGCCCGACTTTCCTCAGTTCACGCCAAGCAATTTAATAGCTTACTTAATTAGAAGCTTGAAAACTAGAAAGATGAAAGCCAAGCCAAGGCACGAATCTTCCTCACCTTAGTTAGTCAGTCTGGTGCCTACATGCCGAAGGCAACCAACTCGCACTTGGCAAGCTATTAAATTTAGGCAGAAAGCGTAGGCCTCCAGCATTCGGGCCCTGGCGGTTGCCCATCGTGTCCTCGTAGTCGCGGAGTTCCTGGATGAGCTCCGCCAGGAACTTCACGGAGTCCTGGCCGCCCTTGATCCAGCTCCACTTGTCGACGCACTTCTTGAAGATGCCAGCCAGCAGGCCGTCGTATGCCCTCCACTGGACGGCCTTCTTGGGAGGGATGGGCCGGATCGCCCTGCGATCCTGAAAGTAAAGCAGTGACATGCAGTGACTTGAGCAATTAAATGGAATCACATCCGCGCAGGCATCAATGCTATCAAAATCAATTTTAATACCTAAGTCAGTCAATGCAAGCCAGGAAGCTGCAAGCGGCCCCATCGGCATCATTGGACGCTTCTCAACGGCCTCAAACAGCGTCGCCCCCCCTAGCCCGTAGAGGTCCGTCCATGGAGTCAGTGTGAAGGATAAGACCTCGTCGGCGGGCATGTAACACATGGTTCCGCGGAAGGGCGCCTGAGCCAGCGTCTTGAATTTGAAAACAGTTCCCTCTGTCTGAACACATCATAACGGCAAATCAACTCATCTGTCAGTCAATTTGGGGCTTGTCGGGCAACTCAGGGATTGCCAGGACTAAGAGTGAACGCTCAGCTGCCGACCAGCCCTCAGCCTAACTAAGTAAGCCCTGAGTTGCCTGCCCGACGATGACAACTTGGGCAACTCAGACTCGTCAGGGCTTGCCAGGACTAAGAGGCAATGCAGCTGCCGACCCGCCCTCAGCCTGAGTAAGCCCTGAGTCGCCCGATGACAACTCGGGCAATTCAGGGCTTGCCAGGTAAGAGGGGAGCGCAGCTGCCGACCGGCCCTCGGTAAGCCCTGAGTCACCCGATGACAATCAGACTCGGGCAACTCAGGGCTTGCCAGGACTGAATTTGAAAGGAAATTAAATGCAGCCGCAGGATCAGCCCTCAGCCTGGCAGCCCTGAGTCGCCCGACGACAATTCGGGCAACTCAGGGCTTGCCACGACTGACAGGAAACGCCTCAGCCTGCTATGCCTGGCAAAGCCCTGAATTGAAACAACAACATTAAATGTTTCTGCTAAGCTAACGTGCATCCAAGTGTCTGTGTCCCCCAACTTGTACACCAGGCCGAAGTCTGCGATCTTCGCGGTCTGGGTCTCCGTCAGGAGGATGTTGGCCGGCTTTATGTCGCAATGCATAAGCTTGGCTCCTTAGTAGCACTGGATTCGCCGATATCACAAACACAGAAATTTTGAATCATGTCATTGTTCGGTGACAGCTTAGATGCGGAAAACAGTTCAAACAACAGTCGTCGTTGATCAGTAATCAGCTTGAACCACACGCGCCCCAGCAAGTCTTAGACTAATAGACTAAGACTACTAAGGCTCGGTGCATGTGGTAGAGCCCGCTCATGCATTCGCGCATCCACTTCCTCAGTGTCAGAGACTTGTTAGCCAGTGTTCACTGGACGAACCCCCGGAAAGCAATGACTAAGCGCGAATCATGAGGATCTCGCTGGAGATCGGCCGCCCCTGGGGGTCGTGGATCCGACAGTGTAGGTCGCCCCCCGCGAGGAACTCCAGCTCCAGCATGACCAAGGTCGGGGTCATAATCAACTGCCAGATCTGAACCAGGTTCGGGCGCCTTAGCTGCCTCATCTGGTTGCCCTCCTCCAGGAGTGCCTGGGCCTCCTCGCTGGATTCGAAGTCCCGCGCGAGAACTTCAAGACGCGGAGGCCCCCGTCGGCGTGGCGGCACTTGTAGACCACTCCCATGCCACCTTCGCCCAGCTTGGACACCTCGGTGTAGCCCTTTTTGGCCAGAGTGGCCTGGATCAGATCCTCGCCCTTGTCATTGTCCGTCGTCGCCATGCCGCCCGCGCAGGTTGCGTTCTGAAAAAATTGGCAAGCGGATATGAAATAATCATAATGGTAATCAAGTGTTAACCAAAGCAACATCATTAAGTGTTGGAATAAACCTTGGAAATGACATGAGCTCGCGCTTGACCCTAAAATTCCAAGACTCAAATTCACACGGAGTGCGTTCACGAATTGCCAGCAAGACAGCACTGCGCGTGCAAAGTGCGTTTTCCAGCTCCTGTGCCCTGGATTGCCTAAGTCTAGCTAGATCTAGCTAGCATCCGTCTGCTCACTCGCGCTTGCCTTTGTCAGTTGGGAGGACCCCCCGATGGCGCTCGTCACTCAAGTTTTGCTGAGGGCAAGGCTTCTTCTGCCTTTTTGCAATGGTGACCTTACAGTAGCAATGCAACAGCTCGTCACCCTACCTGACGTTCAAAGTGAGGCCGCAGCAGCCTTCTGCAATGCATCGCGCGCAAGCCCGGTGCTGCGTGACCTGGCGCAACATCATTCATACTAGATTCCGTGACTAGGATTGAGCAAGCCTCATTGTCATCCTTCAGCGCCCTTTGCACGTCAGCAGGCACCTCAGGCGCAATGGCCAAGCTAGTCCGAACCTGACATGGCAGTGAAAAAGGCTAACGCGTAACACGTAACTGAGAGTCCGGCTTCGCTGACCGTGATTTCTTCGCCGAGCAGTTCGTCGATGCGTGTCAACACCGCGAGTTCCTGCAGCGAGACTCGGGACAAAGGCTAAACCAGTTGCCGGCCCTTGCTTGGGCAAAACCCAACAATGTAACGCCTCTTGGTCGGTCAGCTTCCGCTCAATGAAGCGCTCAACATGAAAGATGGCGAAGCCTTGGTCTATAGTAGTGTGAAAACTACTTCGCATCCCTCGCACAAGCTTACTAAGGAACTGGCTGAAAGTCACAGCGTGACGGGTTGCCGCCAGCGTGCGGATTGTCTCCGCGACCCTTCGGCACGCAAGGTCGAGCTCCATCACGAGCCTTGCCATTGACCATTCACAATCATTGATGAGCCGGGACCCGCCACATTAGTAAGAGCCAAGAAAGCTTCGCGAGCGCTGTCAATCAATGTCAAGTCAACTCAAAACACTTGTTTAGTTTTGTTTGCGGCGAGATTGAAACTCAGCATTGCAGAACGGATGCCCAGGGTTGTTTCAACTTGATCAGCACTAGTCTCTGCCATGCGCTTAGGCAGCCCCTACGTAGATGGCAACTTCCCCTTGCCAGCGAACACGCTACTATGGCGTGTAAAAACCCGAAGCGCGCAAGTCAAGCCTGGAAATGTTTTCCAGAAAACTCGCCTTGCTGAGATAACCCTGCGAATTTCCACTGAGAACAGCAGCTCGTCCAACTTCAGCCGAGGCTGCCAAGATCATGGTTGCGTCTGCCCGAACGGCTGCGAGCTTCCATTTACTTCCGGGACGGTTCACAATGTCCTTGATCGGCTTAAGGAATTGGGCGTGGCTCTCACGGAACTTTGTGGAAAAGAAGACCTTCTGACGCCGCGTCTGCGAGGCAGGCTGAAACTTCAGAAGGATCCCTTTCTTGCCTTCCAGGAGGCAGACATCCATGATCTGCCGACCAAGCAAGGCAGCCATCAATTTCACCCTCTCCGGCCCAGCGTCGTTGACAATGAAAATGTCTGCCTCCAATCGCTCCGTGGTTTTGACCAAATTTCGGGCGCTCATTGCCACTTGCAAGTCTGCAACAGAGATGGCGGGGTCCAGCCAAGCCTTGCTGCCTTGAATCTTTTCCCAATCCATGGAGCCGTTAAGCCGCATCTGCAAAGCGTCCTTGGAGAGCCTGTCTCTGATATGCCCCTTGTCCGCGTCGCGCTCAGCTTTGGCTGCTGTCTCCATAGTTTCTTGGTCCACTGCATTTTGATCAATGAGGCCGTCCAGGACGCCGTCCACCTTGTAATGTGTTTGCTTTGACTTTTGGAACTGGTACTCAACCTCGTAACTCTCAGTCCAGTACTCAGACACTTTGTCATTTGTGGCCGGGTGCTCGTCCATGTCGAAGGCCAGGTCGGCCATGTTCAAAGAGGGTGTTGCGTTTGCAACACTGTCCCGCCTGGATCTGATAAACGCTGCTTCTGTCCCCTCCTGCTTGGCGCGCTTCACATTCTTGTCAATCCGCTCCTGCGTCCGCTTGCGGCTTGCGCCTCGGACAAGTGAGATGATAATGACGTTGGCCAGGCGAACAAGTCAATGTTCTTAAACACACACGAAAACCAGCAAAAAACAAACGGTGTTAAAACATATTAAAGTGGCAAGTGGAATCACGCCAGGGCGCCGGAGCGGCAAGTTGCATAGAGTTCCGCCGCGTTCGTGACAATGACCTTGAAATCCGGGGGGCTTAGTGGCGCCAACAATATTTTCATGGCCCTTGCATCGTACGACGCGGATGCTTGGGAATGGCCAGTGGCGTTGTTCCGCTCGCCCTTTGCAAAGTTCTGCTCCAGGCCGCTGGACGATGCTTGCCAAGCCAGATACCGGCGCACGACGATGGCCAGGTCATCTGCTGGATAGGACTCCTGGGCGGGGACCCGCCTGTCGAAAAAGTGGACTGTAATTTTATCCCACAACTAAAAGTCCTTCAATGACTGCCGCCGCTGCGTCGCTGCCATTGTGTGCATCCACGCATCCTTGCACGTCGTGTTGGTCTCCCTGTAGCGCTTCTCAGCCAAGGGCCTCAAACGCTGCAGCTGCTCCTGGAAGCCGCCAGGGCTGACATTGAAGAACTTGGCCAACCTGTTGCAGCTGTCATCCCCGGCGCTCTGGAAAGCGGTTTGCTGCTTGGTCACAGACTTCAAGGAAAACACCTTGGAAAAGCTCTCAGAGGAAGGCTTCCTAATTTAAGGTCGATAAACAGGCTAACATCAAAACAAGTAAGATTATCATCGTTTAGTTCTGTTCAAGCCCAGGGGCCCCGAAGGCGCTGAAGACGGAGTAGTGCGGAAACTCAGTTTGAAGAACTTCCAAGGCTAAGCGGGACCAAGCGACCATGCGATCCAGGCATCTTTCCACCGTGTCCCCGTCGCAAGGCTGCAGCCGCCGAGCCTGCCCACAAGAGAAAAACGCAAGTTCGCCGTTGGACAGCATGTCCATGGCAAACTTGGTGTATCCAACTGTTGTCAGCGCCTGCCGCTGAGCAAAAAGGGCTTGAATGCGGTCCGCGAAGCCCTGCACGTAGTTCCCAAGCTCTGAGCTGTCCACCGCTTCGTCGTCCACTTGGCGAATCAGAAGCAGCGATTCGTCTGAAGCGTCTGCTACCATTGCCAGGGCAAGGACCGCTTCGCTGCTGAAATCATCCAGCCATTGTTTCACATGTTTGCCTACGGCGTCTTGCCGATGCTGGATGATCCGTTGCGCAACTGACATAATGGCAGGAAGGTTGCTAATCAGTC